CTTCGTCGACGCCTTCCTACTGATGGCACAAGGATGGACGCTAGCCGCCAGACCTGCAGACATCACAAAATAATCGATCGTTTTCCAGACCTTGGCAGTGGACCTACACGTGTAAGATGCTGGCTTCACAATCTGTCCCCCAAGACGACCAGCCCACCCCAACTCCAGGAGTCTATCTGGTGAAACGTTCCAGTCACCTCCAAGGACAAACGGTAAGCCCCAAGAATGCAACTGCTCTCCGATTCTACTCAATATTTGGCCCCCCGTGGGCCCCAATGGGTCCTGGTCGGGCAAGTAGATGGACCCAATGATGAGCCCCCCCTGGCACATACGCGTTGACCCACATCAGCTGCTGGCGATGCGGGCTCGGCAAGCGCTTGACGTCCGTCGGCGGCAAGCCCAGCCCGACGAAATCCCTGCACGCAACCGTGACGCCTCCTGACAGGCCTCCAGCCTCGGTGACCTCCGACGGGTGAATCGACGCCTGCCAGCCTAGCTTCTTCAACTGAGCTTCACATTCAACTCGATCCGACGGGTCGACAGTTAGTTCCTGAAGCATGACGATCTGACTCGATGCTTCCCCCTGGAGAAACTGCTTCGCCGAGGACCAAGCCGTGGTATTACAGGTTTCTAGACAGAAAAACTCTCCCTGGCTAGACCTGGACGATTTATTCTTACTCTGCCCTGGCTGGGCAGACCTAATCTTACGAACTACTTGTGGCCCTGTAAGAGGCCTGGCACTAGGGGGAGGAGGAAGAGCTGGGGGCGGCAGATCGGGGGGATGGGATGTCGGCGGGGGCGGGGGCCAAACCAGGGACCGAAAGAAAATCCCAGGCGGCCGCGACGGACCCGCCGCCGCGTTGCCCCACCAGCAGGTGGGGCAAGGCAGGCTGCTACCCACCAGACGTTTTCCCCTGGGCCCCTCCTGCCGCCCCAGACGCGCCTGGGACGCCTCCAGCTTCCCTTCCAGCACCGCTTCCTCCTCCCTTGCTGCCAAGAGCCTCGGCGGCCCTAGCACGCACATCAACCTTGGGTGAGCTGGCCGTGGCTCCGCCACCGCCCGAGCCTCGCTCGGGGCTGTCACGGGCGTCAGGGCCTCCAGCAGCAGCAGCAGCTGGAGGAGCAGCACCGCCAGGCGGCTCCGCTCCGCGCTGCACGCCACCCTCGGAGTTGCCCTCGGCGCCCTTCCGCTTCTTCTGCAGCCTGCTGACGTGCGCGGAGTGCTCCTGCCGCAACTTTTCTGCGGTCTCCTTGGCCTCGCCGAAGAGCTGCTTCGCCATGTCCTGCACTCCTTTTCGCAGCTGCTCCTTCCTGGCAGCTGCCTCCTTCTTGTCCGTGTCGGTGAACTCGTATATGTCAGCGAGACCGAAGAAGTCGTCGCAGCCGTCCAGGCCGATGCACGACGTGTCGCCTGCCAGCAACTGCTCCAACTTGATCTTCGGCGCCGCGGGCTGGTCGCTGTGGGCCTGGCTGTACATGGCTTTGAGCAGGCCCTTATACTCGTCGTCCGCTTCGCCGAGCTTCGTCTGCAGCAGCTGGACCTCCGTCTCCTGGTTTGCGACCGCTTGGCGTAGCCGCCCCAACTTGTCGATCGCTGCCTCGAGCACCTTCTCGAAGTGCACGACCTGTGCGTGCGCTCTGTGCGCACGCACCTGCAGCGGCGGCTCCTTCGGCAGGACCGCCTCCTTCTGCTTGTAGTCCAGCAGCTTCTGGTACTTGGTGACCAGAGCGTGGTCGCCCGTCTTGGAGCCAAGGCTGATGAGCTGCTGGATCTCGTCCACCGAGAGCTGTGCGTCCCCGTTGCCCAGGCCAGGCGGGAGCTGCAAGCCGACCGAGCGGGGCGTGCCGTCCGTCGCGAGCTTGCCCTCCTCCTCAGCGACGGGCTCGTTCCAGGCAGCGTGACAGTGAACACAGTACCAGGAGCTCCAAACGTTCTTCTTACAGCCGCAAGTCTGACACTGCCACCTCCGATGGGGCCCCTTCGAGCCTCCACGCTTGTTGCTGCCACGCTCGTCGGCCCAAGACACACTCTTCTGGTGCCCACCTGCCGCATGCTCTCCCCAAGCCATGAGAGAACTCGAACAGGAATCTTGAGCCACGAGGTGTGGCCGGTAGACTGAAAAGTAGGACCCTCACCCTGGGCAGGGCCACTGATCGAGGGTCGTGCGGGTCTCTGACCAGCTCGAGCCCCAACCCCAGGGAAGGCGAAGGCCCCAGGCAACGGCTTGAGCCAAATGGCTACGGACTCCTCCTCCTCCGCCTCCTCCTCCGCCTCCTCCCTCCCTCCTCCTCCTCCTCCTCCTCCTCCTCCCCCCCCTCCTCCCCCTCCTCCCATTAATTCTTCCCTCCCCCTCCTATATTCCCCCCTCCTATCTTCTCCCCTCCTCCTCCTCCTCCTCCTCCTCCTCCTCCTCCTCCTCCTCGATCCTCCACCCTCCCTCCCCAACAGGCATCCAGCTGATTTCCACGTCTCTCCAATCGTTCGAGCTACAGCTACAGGAGGCTCCCGATTTCAGAACCTGGCGCCGCCACTGCCTGCGCATCGAGTACCTCCCTCATCGGCCTGTTCATGCTGAGCTCCAAATCGCTTGAAACTGGCCGCTGCGCACGTGACCTTAACCGCCGCCATCCCGTTTCGAGTGGGCTCCTTGGGGCTGGCGCCGAGCGAGCGCTGGGCCCAGGACGAACGGTTCAGGTCCGCCCTCAAGCGGCCGTTAACACTCCCCGCTCTGCGTGCGCAATTGGGGGGCAACAAGGTACTGGTACCGCTACCCCCCAGAAATTCTGGACCAGAATTTGTAGAAAAATCCTGCCGTTGCGACGGGGGCTCTCCAGGTTGACCAGGACTTTGGGGAGAAGCCAGCCGTTGCGTCAAGGACTCTCCAGGACGAGCAGCGGTGTCGGTATCGCCCCCTCCTCTGACGACATGCCCCTCCCTCCTCCCAGGGGGGGAGGAAGGGGGGGGGCCTTGGAGCGCGTCGCCATCGTCGGTCGCGCTGCGTGGTTCTGCTCGTCGTCGGGAGGGGGGACCGCAAGCGCGCGAGCCAAAAGGGCTGCGGGGTGGCAGGGCGCAGCTGCTTGCGTCGAGTGCGCGGCAGGGTGATGCTGCCCTCCCTCCACTCGCCGCCCTCCTCCTCCTTCTCCTCCTCCGCCTCCTCCTCCTCCTCTGATTATTATCAGTGTTATTATCAATATGTGCATTATTCGTATTATTCATCTTCATCTTCCTCCTCCTCCTCCTCCTCCTCCTCCTCCTTCTCCCGCGCCTGCTCCTACTCCTGCTCCTGCTTCTGCCCCTCCTCCTCCTCCTCCTCCTCCTCCTCCGCCTCCTCCTCCTCCTTTTCCTCCTCCTCCCCCTGCTCCCTTTCCTCCTCCTCCTCCTCCTCCTCCTCCTTCTCCTACTCGCCCTTTCCTCATTCCCTTACCCTGCCCTCTTCCCCGCCGCCTCCTCCCCCATGTCGCCTCCTCGCCTCCCTCCTCCGCTTCGCCTGCCTCCCTCGCCTCGCTGGTGCCCGACGTTCCGTGTGCTACGCCGCCGCTGACCACCCCCCAAAAAGGTTCCTCGCGTCCGGTTCCTCCTTTTTCTTCTTCGTGCTCTTCCTCCTCCTCCTTTTCCTCCTCCTCCTCCTTTTCCTCGTCCTCCTCCGTCTCGCATGCCTGCTTGTGTGTTCCTCCTCTCGTTCCCCTCCTGCGCGCGCGCGGCAAAGGGCGATCAGGACTGTGAGAGGTAGACGGCGGGTGGAAGGGGCAATCGGGGGAGAGACGGGAAACAGGAGGTGCTCCTCCTTCTTCCTCAATATGTTCAACCTTTTTCGCCCTCTTCCCAATCATCCTCTATCCTGCTCATCCCCGCCCCTCCCCATGTTTCTCCCGCGCCTCTCCCACCCCCTTCTCTTACGCCTCAAATTACTTGTATGTCCGCCCTTTCTGCGGGAAACGTTGGTTTCACGGTGCACGTTAGGAATGACGGGGCGGGACATCAACAATCGCAAACACCAATAGTGCCCATGACCGGGACACGTCCACAACCGTAACCAAACCGCCCGTTATGTTCACCCCCATGGGGAAATAAAAATCGGGGGCCCAAGGGGAATGCTACAAATTTGCCTCAACAATCGCAACATGCTGATGCAAATGCTGACGAACATGATGGTAAACAATGATCCTGGACGCTCCATCGGAATCCTCTGGGAAACCTCGGGTTCCGTTCGGAATGCCGTAGGGTTCCTGAAGAGATCCTTAGGCATCCCGAAGATCATCGTAGGATCGCTGAGAAAACAATTCCGGATCCATGGGGCCTCCAAGAAAGATTGCTTAGAGCATCCACCGGGTTCCCTCGGGACTCGGTGGGGCTCCTTAGGATATCCAAAGGAAGCCGCAAGACATCCAGATGACCCCAGAGGAAATGAACCGGACAATCCTTCAGACATTAAAAGTATTCCTTAGGGCATCCACCGGACCCTTTAGGAAATCCATCGGGCTCCTGAATAAGCCCATCGGACTCTTTAGGGCATCGATCCGAATCCTGAAGGTTCAGACGATTCCTAAAGGAATCCACCAGATGCCTGAGGAACTCCACGATCGATCTCATGAGAAACCCATAGAAGGGGCAGAGGGAGAAGGAGGAGGTGGAGAGGGAGGATGAGGAGGAACCCCGGACCATTTTCCCCAAAAATGAAATTCGGAACCCCAGGTCTCAATGTGTATAACTCAAAATTCCCGGATCGTTGTCAATTGCACATGTGTAGGAATCCGTGACGGCCCGTTTGCGATGGAACAAAACACACGGGATGCAAGGGTTCGGAGAGTGAGCGCCAGGAAGGGGATCACCATAAATACCGCCATCACAAAGAGTGGCTCAACCACGACACCGCCCGAACACGATGAGCACCGAGGCCAGGTGACCAACCCGCTGGGCGCGCCTGAAAAGTTGGAGGAACACGGCCAAATTCGTGATACCGCCCAATGAATCCCTCCATCCTTGAAACGTTCACTCCCTCCATGTCAACATGCAGCGAGCGGGGGGCTAGCGGCGCGCACCTTGGCGCGCCGCGCGCCCTGGCAAGTCCGAGGCGGCGGGCGCGCTGCCCTCAGAATGCGACGCGTTCCACTGCGCGCCCCGATGCCCAACCGAGGGGCGCCACTCCCACATGCAACGTGCGCGCCCCCGCGAACGCCGCGGGGGGCCCTCGCCGCGGGAAGGATGGGCGTGGAACCCGCAGAAGGCGACGAGGCGAAATGTTCTCTCCCCCTCGCCCCTACGGGCAGACAGGGGCGACGATCGGGCTGCAACCCGCCTGATTTCCTGGGGGGGGGGGGGGGGGGCACACAGTGGCACACGCGCCGCACAAGGAAGAGGAATAATGAAATTCCTGCAGACATCCTTGAGATTCCGTGGGGGCCCATTGGGCCCCGCAGGACGCGCGCATGATGCCTTAGGACATCCACGAGATCTCTGACATCTGTGAGACCCTTAAGACATGGGCGCCCTGGGACATCGCCGCTACGACACACAAGCAAGTAACAAATGAGATCCACCACTTCTTCCATCGAACAATCAGTTCCTGTCGAGTCTTGCCGCCCCCCTCCCCCGACCAAATGAAAATCGGCCAGCGATAATCCGGCATGCTTACAATTAAAAATTAGAGAAAGGCATGCTTGAATAACCGGGGCACGCGGTTAACCGCGCGCGGAATTGAAGGCAACGAGCGCCGACGATTCGAATAATCTCGTCTCGACGCGGTGAAACATCGAACTGATCGCATCGACAGCGCCGAAACAAGATGGTGATGAGTTCACAAGCGTTGGGTTTGTGTTTAGATATGCACATACAAATAAACAACCACACTCACCGAGGCATGCATAGCAAGTGCCCGCCAAAATCCACCCGCGGCTCGGTCAGAGCTTGATGCTGGATATATTTCGCCAACTGATGAGCGTCCGCATTGCGTTCCCATTTGGCATGGCCGCAAATATGCCAAGAATGGTCGCGCGGCCAAACATATTGACGCGCAATGTGGAGACAAGGGCGTTGGTGCATGCTCGCGCAAGCATGGGCCACGAAAAGCAGCTGCCATGTGCTGATGAACGACCGGATCGCACCCCTTGTTGACCGACCGCCTGTGAGGCGGAGGTCGCGTTCTCGTTGTTCTAAATATAGATTGTTGGATGTTCTGCGCTCTACTTCCAACGCTGGCTGGAACGTTTGCGATCCGCGCGAAGGCCTCGGGCCGAGACCGCCCCGGCCCCCAGCCCGAAGCACGAGAATCGGAATGCATGGGGAGGGGGGGTCTGGGGACGCGCACGCGCTGCAAATTAAATCTCCAAGTGTCCAGAAGCTGCCTCCGCGTGCCAACGCGGGCCCATTCCGGGCTGCTTGCAACGCCGCGCGTTGCCAAATCTCTGCGCTTCCCACTCCTGGTCCTCTGGGTTAAAAGAAATTCCACAACGGGTCTTGGGGGGGGCGACGAAATGTAATATGCAATATTCAGGGGCCACTGAGCCGGAAAAGGCCAAGTTCGGCCTGGGATGTTGCCCGACACTGCGGGGCGGAGCGGGGCCCCGCGGGAACCGTCGGACAAATGTTTGAATCAGTGCGTTTTCAACCGTGCATGCACCAGAGCCGACACTGCATGCAAGGAACGCCCCGCGCATGCGGACATGAAGTTGCAAGCCGCCCCGCGCCGGCATGGAGGGGGCGCGCCCCGCCCGCCCGTGAAGTTTTAAACCGCCGCGGTGGAATCCGCGAAACTGGAAGGCGCCGGCGTTAAATACCCACCCAAACTGCAACTTCCAAGCCCTCTCAAAGAAATCCCGCCGCCACTCCAACGCCGTCAATTTCCTAAGGCCTAGCAGCCAACGCACCAACCGCAGCAACGGAGCTTCCGATTCATCTTCCGCTTCGTTCGCATCGAAGACGCATCGCGCGGAACGTCCACAGGGCGGCCAACTAAGTGGGCAGCGCGGCGGGCCCTCAGGCCCCGATGAGCAAGTTCAGCACGCTGCAACGTGAAGGCGCGCTGCGCCCCCCCATCGCCTTCTGGGTCGCGAAGCTCTCCGTGTCATGCGGCTGGGGCCCCGCGGAAAAATCCCCTGGGCCCACGCGTTTGCGCCTGCCCAGCCGCCGCGCAACCGCCTGCCTGCGAGAACCAACCCAATCGCGAATATACAATTTGCCCAATCTCTCTTTTGCTTCATGGGTCGTGCTTTAGTCGGGCCACGTTTCTGCAGCGCCCTCCGCGATATCTGGCGCGCCCACGCTGTCCACCGATGAACAAGAACCTTCTCGTTCAGAAAATGTATTGCATCTTCTGCTAATCGGAATCACCCCCGGCAGATTCCCCTGCTTTCTGCGTGGTTTGCAATCCGGGCCCTTCGTGAACCACCAGCGCATCGCCCCCGGAAAACAACAGAAGAAACTGTGCAATCGAAAAGACGGAGCCTCGAGGTAAGCGAATACCTGCGGTCAGTCAGGATCGAACGTTGCGACGCACATCAATTCCTAGCTGCGCTGTTCCCGTTGCCAAGTTCGGTCTCGCGCGGGCGGTCAACAACTGCCTTCTTGCCCGCATGCTTGACGCGACAACCACGAGATACAACGTCAATGCGCAGATCGCCGATCTGGATGCGCTGCTCATCGGGGCGCCCAGTCTCCCTGGTAGCGTTCGAATGAATCCTTGCCTGATCTGGATGATTCCCAGCTGCCGTGCGAAATGTCTGCTAGCGTGCCCTCAATATGCTTTAGCGCAATGCCGGTAAGCATGACATCGCCAGCAAAATACGGGCCGCCACAAAGTGGTCTCGCTGGCTCTGCAGCCACGTTGTCTTGACATCGCCACACGCGTGTTCCATTATGGCATTGACAAGAAGGCTGCTCGAAGGGCATTCCTGCGTCGTGCCCCGCAGGCCATTATGCGGCCCGCTCTGCCCTTCAGACCTCGCTCTAGCAGATTAGTCAGCACGCACTGACCGCTACAATCGAATGCGTCCATCCGGTACGCCTGGCCGGGCAGTGCGCACCGCGCGCTCTTGGTCTACGCAGCCGAACGCCTTCTGAAAGTCGATGGTGAATGCCCGCCGATTTTGCAGCCACTCGCAACGCTGCTCCCACGATGCTGTCACTGCCGATAAATTATGCGCAGTGCCAACGCAAACTCTAAATCCCGCTCGGTCTGCGGATTGATGTTTGCCCAGGGCAGAGCGCAGTCTCGAGCGCGAAAAATTCGCGAACAACTTGGCAGGAACCGGCGCGATGGCAATGTGCGCATAATTCATGGTTTTCGCGGGGCCACCGGACTTTTCCACAACGGTGACGACGGACTCTCTCCACGCTCGTGGTGGCAGACCCTCGGCCCCTCGGCGAGATGGCGCCGTTTCGCAGCTGCAGCTGAAACTCTCCGCTGCCCCGCCGCCACCCGTGAAACTGTCCGTCGTGCCTCCGCGTGCGTCTTTGCGCATGCCTCGCCGTAGCTCTCGGATTTCTGCCCCCAATTCGTCCGGCGCGAAATCCGGGGCGCCCTCAGAAAGGATAGTTGCATCAGAATGATTCGCCAGCTTGGCGTTCGCAGACGAATGCGCATCCGAATGGAAATCAGCAGAAAATTCGGCGATGGACAGCCTGTCGGGATGCGTGGCTCCAGCTTCGCCCACCGCGCGCGAGGTAAGCTGCCTCCGCTCGACTGTCTTCGCACGGAGGATATTTCTGCAATCGCGGGAAGAACCCAAGAGCGCACTCATTGGTGATGCGGCTCGTTCTCGTCTTAGTGCTCGGGCTTTCCTCGAAATCTGTCTGCTCGGTGATGTCCTTCTACATGGGTTGGTCTCGTCGCGGAGATTTCCGCTGCTCCAGCATGCGCCGAAATCTAGTATCATCGTCTCCGCGGACGACGCGGGGGCTTTGCTTGCGCTCAGCAAACGCCGCAGACCCCGAAAATCTATATCCTAGTCTCTGACACGGACAAGCAGCGCCGGCATTATCCGGGACCCCCTAATGGCAAAGCGCGCCTGTCGAGAAGCTCTCCGCAAATACGCGCGTCCACGGGCGCCAATGTCACGATCTGCTTCGCGGCTGCCCACTTCTCGCGCCGGTGCCGGATGGCGCGCCTCAGGCTGGCAAGAACGCGCCCGTGGTCGCTGCCCACGTTCAGGAACACAGTCGCAAGAGTCCACGACATTCGGTAAAAGCCTCGAATCGACCAAAAAATGATCAGCACGTCTGGGAAAGCCACTCGCGCCTGCATGCGTCGCCACGCGCCCCCGCCTCTAGGAGCAAAACAAGCTCGCGATGCTAAGCCGCCTGATGCGCCTCCAACTTGTCGCCGCAGGCCTCTAGCACTGGCCTTCCCGAGCCTGCGCGCGCCGCAAGCGCGTCGCGCGTCGCTCTCTCGCTCTCTTCTCCATTCTCCGCTTCCGCGTTGATGTCGCCAGCCATCTCGTGGCGATATCGCCTGCGGCGCGCATCCTGGTGAAACTCCGACGAAGAATCGCGCAAGCTCCGCGCGCGCGCGCCCCAGTCGCCGGAATGAAGGACACGCGCCGTCGCCAACCGCGCGCGCAGAAACGAAAACATCCACGCAGCTCATCAGCATAACGCGCCCTGTCTCTCTCCCTCTCTCTCTCTCTCTGAGATTCTCGCGAAAGATCGCGCGACAGGGGCCCGGCGGCGGCGAACCAGAATGCAAGCGCCTCGCGATTCGCGGCCCCAGCCACATCCGGCGCAAGCGCGCCCAGCGCGCAGCGTGACATACTCTCTAGATCAAGGTCGCCGCGCCCAGCGCACAAGCGCGAAATCCCAACGGGCATTCTGAAGCCCCCCACAGTCCACAATGACACTGCCACCCCGTCGAAAAAAAAGGCGCCGGACACTCATGGGAATAACGTGTAAACCATGCCATTTCAGGATAGCGTTTCTCGCGTGATGCGCTGCGCTCGACGCGCCCGTGCGCCGCGCGGCGCTGCAAGAAGAAAACCCCGCGCGCGCGGCGGCGCGGCGCTTGCCATCCCCCGCTTGATGCAAGGATGCCTTCATGTCGAACGTCATCATTGTTCTGCTTCTTGACCCAATCCCCCATGCAGTTACCGGCCGCTTTCATCACCTGCCGCCCCTGCCCGCCCTCGCCCCGAACTCGCGCCTGCGGCGAACTG